TCTATAGCATAGAACGAAACGTCTCAAATAAATAAAGTTGTTACTTTATACTTATGTTTAAAAAGGTGACTTTAGTCCTATTATTCTTATTAAAAATTTTCACCTTACGAAATAATTCTTCAACTATTCTTCCATTGTATTCTCATCCTTTTCTTCTCTTCTTTCTCGGTTATCTCATCGCATATATCTACTGGCTTTTCTTATGAATCATCTCTCTCTCTCTCTGTTTTCCACAGTTTCGCTTCATTGATTCTCTGCTTTCCCCTGTACATTTTTAGTGAACTTTGTATACGATTCACTGCTTATACCTTTTTTTCACACTTGTACAGTAACATTATAATCAGTTTGTCTGCGAAATAAACTCAGGAACGGTCAGTTTCCGTTACAATGAGTTATAGAGAGAAGAAGTTATAGGTAGAGGCACGTATGCTGTGGACAGAGCGTTATACAAGTCGAGGTGATGGAACAAGAATAGCCAGCAGGTGTTTTTCCGGGAGATACTACATCACAGAACATATATGACAGAAAGTAGGATGTCTGTATACAGACATCCCGGGATTCAATGTAGACAGCATCCTTATATTAACTCTCATCGAAAAATTACAAATACTTTTATCTAATTGTCAGTTTAAGTTGAACATAAGCGGTCGCAGTAAGTTAGCACTTACTGTTAACCACAGTTTAACTTGATTTGCCTTCATTGTAGAAATATCGCACGAACTTTTTCACACGGTCATAACTGTGAGTTTTCCGGAAAAATCCTGATGATCCTCGGGAGAGTCTATGAAAATTCTTTGACAAATTTGATTTTACTTCCATTAAATTTGACCTATATGATCTCATTTTGAGAAAGTTTCATTTAATTGTTGCGTTTTTTTTAGGAATGATAAGGCTGCGTTCCTATAGCTGAATGTCTCAAAAAACGAAAATGGCGTTTCTCAGAAACGAAACAATATTTTCCAAAATCCATCCTTAACTTTTCTCCCACATATATGACGATTAAGATGAGGTAAAAAAATCTGTTTTATCTTCTAATCTGTAGGACGAGATAGGTTTCGAAGAACTATAGGCGCATTTTTTCAATTCTGCTCGTGATTCGCTAACTTCTAAAACATTTTGGGGTTTAAAAGCGTCAAAAGTTGGGATTTAAACTCAGTATTGCATGCTGCATTAGAAAAAAATAATTTTCGTAGCTTAAAGAAGGAAAAAAGGGTAGATTTTGTTTTATTTCGAAGAATTTACTGATTTTTGCCTCTTTTCAAAAAATCACTATTTTTGGGGATTTAAAATCACTACTTTTGAGGAATTTAAACTCAGTATTGCATGCTGTTTTAGAACAAATAAGTTTCGACGATTAAAGAAGGAATAAAAAGTATGGTAACAGCAATGGTGATGGATTTGGGTTCTCTCTTGGATTCCCTATTTTAGGGAATATATTAATGACCTATCTTGAAGAGTTTGTGTACTCTAAATTATGAGACAGTGGCGTTAAGTATTATACAAGATATGTGGATGATATCTTTGTGTCGCTAGAACAACATTCTTGTATTGACAATATTCTCAATATGTGCATTTATACTTACACGCGACAAAGAATAGAAAGAAAGGAAGATTTTTGTATTATTACGTTTTTCAATAAACTGAGAACGTCGTAGAGTCAAGTTAACGCCTCATGATCGGAGACTTCTAACAGTTGACCATTCTACAGATTTGTTTCTTCTCTTTCACTTTGATTGTATTTGTGCTCTATGTGAGTATATAGAAAAGAAAACAGATGCAATACAAATTCGCATGTGTGTTTCGCACTCATCCATGACCTGTAGTTACAAACAGGATGAAAGCACTTTTATCGCGTTGCATTGAAGTAAATTTCAAATTGTCGATGGACAAACGTCATAAACCAGAATCGATCATCATATTTTCTTCTCATATTTTCAAATAATCTCATTCTCACTCTCTTACACCATGACACTTCACTTGTAAGAAATCGTCTTACATCCATTTTTACTTTGGTGGCGGACAACTATTAGCTTTCACTCTCTACGAATATCATTTCCAATGGGTGTGTCGCGAATTAGACTTATTTATAGTATTACCAGGTTCTATAATTATTTACAATATTTTTAATATGGTAATAAGTAAATTTGCACAATTTATAATGAATATTAATCATGAAATACAACAAAATATTTTCAATTGATGAAAAATTCGATTGAACAAATCATAGATACAGTGTTGAATTGACTAAATCTATACGGTAAATTAGATTTAGTGGATTACTGTGCTATTCTACAGAGATATCCTATATAATATTTGTAACCTTATCTGACTTTGTTATTCGTCTTGTCTGCTCGATTCCATATTATCATCATTATTTTTTGTTGTGCTAACATAATATGTTAAAGTTATTAAAACGTTGTTACCCTGTTTTAATAATAATTTTGCTGTTGATGATAGCGTTATTTGTTGTCCAATTTCAATTTGACGATAAATGTGACATGATACAGAATTATTTGTCATCAAATCAATCTCTTCCCATTATGTTGATGTGGACTCGATTTTATAATAATGCTCCGCACGAGGACACGACTCTTCATTGCAGTGATTCAAATAAATGTATTCTTACAAAGAATAGACTCAAATTATGTCAAAGTAATGCAGTTTTGTTTCTTCTTTGGTATTTCAGTATGAGAGATGTTCCGACTGATCGTATTCGTACTAAACAATCGCGACAAATTCAAAAATGGATTCTTTTAAATTTGGAGTCACCGGCTCAGACGTGGTGGTGGAAATGGACATTATACCGAAGTGGCTACTTGTTCGACTGGGTTCACAGTTATAGACCGGATTCAGACATCTATGATCCATATGGAAAAATTGTAAAACGAAACAGCTCAGTCGTTGAGTGGAAACCAAAATACGAGTTCACAATGAAAAACAAGTCAGTTGCATGGATGGTTAGCCATTGCGAAACGGCAGGAAAACGGGAAGACTATGTTGCCGAATTAAAAACATTTATCGATGTTGACATTTACGGAAGATGTGGTTTGTACAAATGTGCAAAATCAAATATGAATTGTTTGAAAATGATTGAAAAAAATTATAAATTTTATTTATCTTTCGAAAATTCAATTTGTAGTCACTATGTTACAGAAAAGTTATTTAGAATTTTGGATTACGATCTAATTCCAGTTGTATTTGGTGGTGCCAATTACAGTTCGATAATGCCACCTCATTCGTATATCGACGCATTCAACTATAGTTCACCGTTTGAATTGTCGTTATATCTGAAAGAAATTGCATCCAATGAAGCGAAATTCAATTCATATTTTAAATGGAAAGAAAACTATTTTGTCGTATCACTACCATCTTATTTTTGTGTAATTTGTGATAAACTTGCACAAGAACAGAGAAACCAAACAACATCAAAAACAAGTCAAATTACCGAAAGTCACTTGTCACTGTACAACTGGTGGTTTAATAACGCCAATAACACGTGCACTTCTTGGAAAAGTCCAGCCACATGGGTCGATTATTTCCTTGAGGTGATCGATAGAGGCTTCGAGTTCATCGGCAAATGAAAATAAGTTTCCTTCGATCCAATCCGTATATGTGCTTCTCAATTGTTTTTCAAAGTGTGCAAGTGCTTATTTAATTTTATAGACAGTGACTGGCAGAAAATACATACTTTAGCATGTTGACACAATGTGGCAAGTAAGACATACAACAATTTTTTGGTACAATAAGTCCAAAAAAGGGTTCGAAGTGAAAAATTTATATTTTGAGTAAAATTCGATTGCCAATCGGCGGCAGAATGAGCGCCATCATAGAAATAACAGACAGACAGCTTATCCAAGTACATCAGGGTTTGCTGGAAAATGTTTAAAATAGGATCGGAACAAGTTGAACGTCTGAAGTACTATGCTGGGACAGCTCCGACACATATTGCTTCGGTTATCATGGAAAATGTTTGATGTAGCAGGTTTTATGTGCAGTCGAACACAGCGTGTCTTGTTCAAAGAGTCGCGAAATGTCGACTGTTCGTCGGAGATGAGCGCATACGAGATGAATGAACCGATGGTTCAATGCTGAGAACAATGTGACACTCTCGTGGGATCGAAGATAAACAAAAATACGCTGGGATCGCTCTTTGGGAAGTAATTGCAATGACCTAACACAATAACAAAAACTAATGGGTAGTTTGAGTTCGCAACCGGGATGTTTCGTCTAGTTTACTTTATAAAGTACTTCTCTGACTAGGAAGAAAGATGTTCCAGTTGAGCTTCAGTCACCACCGAGAGAGGCATTTACTCAAATTTCTCTTATTGCAGCCTCTTCCCGTTTGCACAGATATACTTTCAGTAAAACGAGTAACGTTTTCTTTCCCATCTCTTCAGAACCGCTGGCGCTATATCTTCAGCTGCAACTTACATTTTGTTTTATTTTTACGTTGTCTTTTGATTTACAGTTGTGTTCGTTTTTGCGGTGGGTTACATAACTGTAAAAAGAGACCATATCTTTTGCTTATTGATTCAATTCCTGCTCGAGTCGCTATATATTTTTGCTTCTTTTTGTTTCTTTCGCCTGAAAAGTTTCCAAAACTTTTTTTGCTTTCCGACTGGTAGTATCCCGAGCCAATTTTGGTGGACACATATGCAATCGACTATCCTCTATCCAAAAATGTAGTTGTCATCAACTCTAGTTAAAAATTTTACCTATCGATGAAATGTTTCTGCAAACCACCCGTACTTAGCCATCACGTATACGAAACAATGTGATTGAAAATGAGAAGCAGAGAGTGTAATCATATTTTATTTAACGCCAACTTTGACGAATACTAAAAGGAGGCTATAATTATAATACTTTTTTTTCTCGGTTTACTGCAATCAAGCCTTCTAGGTAACGGGGTCCTAACCTCCTAAATCTACTACAAATATAAATTCCTAGAAACAAACGAAAATTAAATATAGAAATTATTAAAGGTGGGCCGTTTCTTTGTCAACCATGCTGTGTGAAAAAAATTTAAGTGAGTGTTAAGAACTGTAAAATAAAGCAAAAAGACAACAATTACAAAAAAGATAGCGTCTATGTCTTCTTTAAACACTCCTTTTTTGCTTTTAATGTGTTAAAAATTTTAATCCCTTAGAATTATAAAAAACACGAATACATTATTTTTCTTCTCTCTCAATCCATTCAAACTGGTTTTTTTCTGCAAAGAGAGAACAGTGTCCTGAATTTTTATGTTAGACAAATGCCACCAGTAAACTTTATCACCTACATCACTATTTTCCACTTCCTATCGTCATATTTCATTCTTAATTGTAATACAAATGAAATACGTAATGCTGAATGGAAGAAACTACAACAAGTTTGGACCGGATATGTGATAAGTTGTTTCAGTATCATGTCGGTACTATAGTACATGAAGTAACGAAATCTGGAAATTATAATTGAAGGGTGCTAAATGTAGCGTTTGAAGATAATAAACGCAGTTGACGAACGATCACAGGTTTCAACGATTTCCAGACTGTGGCGGACAACAAGAATCACTCATTAACATTGTTACCGCCTGTACAACTTACCAACAATTTCCTCCCTTCTAGTTCTCACCTGCCTTCTCCAATCGACTCACTTTTACTTTGAAAAACAATGGTCATACAATTGTTACAGCGTCTTACAGTGACAAACTTTCTCTCTTCTTCACTCGTAGTGATTTAGATGGAAACTATTCATTTGACAGCTTTCACTTACATTGGGGACAAAATCCAAAACAAGGTAGTGAACATTATTTGAATGGTAATAAATATGCTGGTGAAGCACATTTCGTACATATGAATTCTCTTAAGGTTCACAGTATTGTCTTGAAATTTTTTATTAATGCAGCGAACATTGGTAGTGTAATGCCTCAGTCTACACAATCTAACGTGGAAAGCTCACATTGAGTATGTTTCAACAAAATCTCGGCAAATGTTAGGCTCTATTTCGAGAGTTTTTCGCGACTCGCCCTCATTTTTACGTTGCCATCTGTATATAACTTGTGTAAGACCAGTGCTCG